TATTTTAAAACTTAAACATATATATTAATTTTTATTACAAATTATGGACGCTAATCACATGTCACACCAATCATTCATTTCATTTCTTTCAGATTTGGAGGGATTTATTAATGCGCATTCAAGAACCCAACAAATTAAATTTAAAAAAAAAAAAAAAAAACGCTAATGGATCTCGGCCCAATGGGCTTTTCAATAATGGGCCTTCTCTGGAATCGACAACACGCCTAACTCTCATTTTCTGTCCCCCCACCCCGACTGCCCATGTTGTTTCACGTGCTACGTTAAATCACTCCCATTAACGTTGTTGTTGTTGTTGTTGTTGTTTAATTTTAGCTTAAAATACACAAAAAAATATATATATATATATATATATATCTTCCAAAAGGATTTTGAAAATAAATGAGTAAGAGAAAGTGAAAAACAATAAAACGGTTAAAAAATATGGACACAAATGTTAGCGTTTGTCTGCCAAACAGTCCCAAAGCCCTGAAGACCCAAGTGAGTGATTAAGAGATAAAGCAAAAGTGCGGTTATGCTTAGGACAGAAGAAAACCCGTTTTATGTAATTGAAAATTAAAATTAATTATATTCGCAATTTCTATCACTAAAATTGACGCCATAGTCTATCCATTATGTAATTTTAATTGTTATTTAGAGGAAAGGGAAATAGGATTTGTTGGATTATTGCAAAAAATAGAAAAACGTTAAAGAGTGTGGAGAATTAGGTATTGAGAGCGTATAAGGGAAAGATAAGAGTTGGATGGGAAAGGAGAAATTGGGGGAAATTGGGAAAATTTGGGGCGGAATTTCAAACCCTAAACCCAAATCCTCCAAATCAAACAAAAAGCCAAAACACTAGACGACACAAACCACAGTGAAAATGAACGGCTAATCCTTTTCATTATCGTAACCTTCTAAATCAAGCTATCAAATTATCACATTTAACCACTTCAATTTTAAATTTTGGAAGAGAAGCTGTGAATTTGGGGGCTTAAAGGGGTGGGGGTTAGATTTTGAGTACCAGCTTTACATTTGATACCCAAAACTTGTAGCATACCCCCATTCATATAGTAAATAAAACTCAATAATTAACCTCAGGAATGTTACAACTTTATCAAGTTGACTTTCTCTGCCATATATAAAAAGATTTTGGGGACTAAATGTTGTCCCAAAAGTCCTCTGGGGATGGGAGACATCACTAACACATTAATTGGCTCTAGTAATCAATGTTATAATTACAACAATATTATTCCGCCCCCATTTCATGTCCTAAAATCCCTTTTTTTTTCTTTTTTTGCTAAACATGAAAATGTAGAGACTAAAAAAAAAATGAATTATTTTTTGTAAGGACAAAATTAAAGCCTATTAAATCATAGAAACTAAAAAAATAAAATGGGAATGCCGAATTAAATGACTTGACTTAATGTAGAGATAAGTCGGCTAGAATAGTAAACCATTGACATGCATGAACAAGCGACGTGTGTAGCCGAACAAGGAATTGACCTAAAAATTGGTAGAAGGATTGGAAAGGGAGAGTGTATGGCATCTTTGAAGGGTCCCCCAAAATGAGCGATGGAATGCGACTTGTTACTAACCCCTCCACTAATAAAACCTTTATTTTTTATTGTTTATTTATTTAATTTTGTGGTGAATTTGAGTAATAATAATTTGGGTTTTAATTAGAGATGGTATTAGGGTGGTTGTAGGGAAGGGAGAGTGGTGGCCTCATCCATTATTATTTTTCAATTACTAAAACAATTAAATTCTTAATTAATTCTAATTGGGAAATCCTTAAGGAGCAGTTACCCATTTAATTAATTTAATTCATTTTTATATTTTATAATAATTTGTAATAAGAACCCAATAAGAGGGCCATTAAGCCCAAATCCCAACCAAACCTGCCATCCCTAATCCTCCCTCTCTCTCTCTTCTCTCTCTCCTCTCTCTCTCTCTCCGCCTTTATTCTCTCTCTATGTTACGGAGAGAGATGGTCTGACAGACTGAACCCAAACGCCGTTACAGACCCCAGAGAACCCCGTTTACGCCTTCCCTAAACCATCCTCCAATAACTCACGTGCTCTTCTTCTTGACAATATTCTTAATTTTATTTTTTTTTAATAAAATTTATTTCTATTTTTATATGGCTTTGCAGCAGCTTAGCCTCGGTCCAGCTCCCCTTGACGCCGTCACTAATGGTGTTGACGTTCGGCCGATGTCAATTGACGGCGGAGACGACGCCACCAAAACACCCAGGCTTCCCCGGTGGACTCGCCAGGAGATTCTCGTTCTTATTCAGGGTAAGAAGGTTGCCGAGACAAGGGTTCGCGGCGGCCGGGCTGCTAGTCTTGCCTTTGGCTCCGCCCAGGTTGAACCCAAGTGGGCCTCTGTCTCCTCCTACTGTAAGAGGCATGGGGTCAATCGGGGTCCGGTCCAGTGCCGCAAGAGATGGAGCAATTTGGCTGGTGACTTCAAGAAGATCAAGGAGTGGGAGTCCCAAATTAGGGAAGATACTGAATCCTTTTGGGTCATGAGGAACGATTTGAGACGCGAGAGGAAATTGCCAGGGTTTTTCGACAAGGAGGTTTATGATATACTGGATTCCGGCCCAGCTCCTTCACCATCGCCGGCTCTGGCTCTCGCACTTGCTCCTGCTCCGCCCCCCGCTCTCAATTCCGATGAGGTCAAGCCCGATGCCGAGCCGGAGCACGTGTTCGACAGTTCTAAAATAGCGACAGTGGACGACGGTTTGTTTTCCGATTTCGAGCAGGACGAAACCAGCCGGAGCCCCATGAAGGAAGTCGCCGGGAAGGAGGTTCCAGCACCGACGGCAGACGGGGCAATTCCTGCTCCGACACCTTTATCAGGTAATTGGGGAAGATGGGTCAATTCAAATCTGTTTCGATTTGTTTAATTCTCATTCTACGACCATGCATGGTCTCCAAAAGATCGGATTTCAGAAAATTAAATGATAAATGTTTCTGGTTATTTGAGATTCTTGCAGCTTTATGTTCCAATTATTCTTTTCTCCTCCACCCCTTACTAAAAAACCATTTTATATATTCTGTCGGCTTCGAATGTTCTTTTAGCTGCCTCTGTCTCTACCTTCGTCCCATTACTGGAACAAGGTTTCAAGTTCCATTTATTTCTCATTTGAATTTTTTCCCCTTTGATTTACAGAGAAGCTGTACCAACCTGCTGCTCAAGATTGTCCCGTCCAAGGTAAACTCAAATTAATCTTTATTCTGTGATTTTCTTATAAACCCTTCGTCCACAGAACAATGTTTGTTCATGAAAAATCTCAGCTGTTGATACACGCCTGTGATCATGAACTGCAAAGAACAATTCTATTTTCGGTGTTTCAATTCTGGATAAATGATCATGTCATCAAAACACTGTCTTCTTAGATTGCTGATTTGATATGTTCTATCTTATGCGCTTCTCAGTTTCAAACTATCTTTTGATCATCTCATGTAATGATAATGGAGTTTCAGTTGATGTTCTTATTCACACGGCTCTGTCCATCATATTTTTGCTGTACTGTCCGATTGCTAATACTGTCATGGCTCAACTTCGAACCATTGACCGCCTTTGGGCTGCTGGCTTAACGAGCTTTCGATTCGCTATTTTGAATGGATGAGAAACATCAGATTATATCTAAAAGAATTAGGTTTGTTTGTTTGTTGGAGTTGTTGTGTTGTTTACTTTGGCAAGCTGTAAAGTTCAACATTATGAAGAGAGATGGCTGTTTTTTGGCCCTCTGAATCCCCACAATATCGTCATGAGTTATGCTAATTGACATATAAATTTAATCTGAACCCAATCTGGTGTTCGACAGGCACATCAAATGACAGAGAAGCAGCAGCAGCAGCAAATCCCGGGATCGGATCGACGTCATCACAAGAGGGACGGAAACGAAAGCATGTTGCATTAGACGTGGATGAGGAAACCATGGTGCAGAATGAACTGATTGGCATCCTGGAAAAGAATGGGAAACTGCTGAGTGCCCAACTGGAAGCTCAAAACATGAACTTTGAGCTGGACCGGGAGCAGCGTAAGCACCATGCCGATGGCTTAGTCGCAGTTCTTAACAAGCTCGCAGACGCTCTAGGCAGGATTGCGGATAAGCTGTAGGAAAACAAAGAGACAAATCCAGATGAGTAGATGTACATAAGCAACAACATTTTTCTCTCCTGGAGCATGATAGAGACACATAAGAGATAGAAGAAATTGATGGATTGATTGATAGGAGGAAGGTTGATGAAGAAGGAGGTTTCCTCTTGTGTCTGCCATTTCTAGTTTCAGACTGCCTTTGTGACCAATTAGTGGTGAGTTTAGAAATTATAGATTTCCCATACACAGATAAGAAGAAGGATACACATAAACTGAAAGAGTTATATTTTTACCACATTTCTACTTTTTTATACGGATTCCAATATTTGTAAATCTTATTATTTATTTCCATTTTTGGTTTTTCCCAATCCAACTTCACTTCTTCCATTTTCTCCCAACACGTTTCAATCTTTCTCTTTCTCGGAATGTCGTTTTCGTTCTATATAAGTATAAATCTGATTTCGAGATTTGAACTTGAACCCTCCAGAAGAATAAGTATCTCCCGAATTATGTTTGTATTGGCTTCTCAAACTTAGTCTAAACATGAGATTGGCTAGGATCTAAAAATATTCGGTGAGTAACCCAACTGATGGAGTCGATAATGTACTCATATAACATATAACATAACTGTCCTTAGCCCCGACTTTAATACCAATATATGTGTATAAATAATGAATATTGTTGGAATTAAGTATGAAATTAATATGTGAGGTCTCATATCACAGAACATTTCTTTGTCTTATAATGGCATGAAATTGGGGTGGACGGTTAGATCCCAAAGTCAAATGTTCATTTTGAAAGGAGTGAAGGTAGAAAAGAAATCAGAAATTTGGATTTGAAGGGTCCGTGAAATTGTCCTTTGATTACATTAAGTATGGATGGTCCTCTGTACTCCATTCAAACAAAAAAGAACCTTACAGAGTTGCTGATTCCAAGCACCCACGCTGAGACTCATTTCTTACAGTCGCAGCTACCTTTTTTGTTTCTCACCGCCTCAATCTTTCCACTTCTCAACAACTCCATTTGATTTGGTTCTTTTCTTGTTCTCAACCTGCTGCCCATGGAACAGCTACTGTAGGAAACTTGACCTTCAATGGCGGGGATTTCGTAAAGCAAACCAAAATTTATCCGAAACCCGCCATTGCCGCCTAAGTCGAAGCTCCTCTTAATGGGGTTCTTTGCATTCACCATCCACACTCTTCTCTTGCTGTTCGTATTTTGGTTTCCCTTCTTCTCAGGAGCCAAAGGCGGTGTTGAAACCGATGCACTTGTTGGCTCCTCCGAGCATTTCGTGCCGTCTCCTAAAACTCTCCATTTCAAGAATGGGTTTCAGAGGATTCTTCTCAGCGTTGCGTTAGGGGTCGTTACTGGACTTACTGGCGCTTTGCTTTCTGTTTGGTTCATTCGGAGCCTTGTGGGTTACTTAAACAGAACCCCACTTCTCGAAGGACCTCTAATATTTTCCCCCAAAATCGACGCCGATGCTCTTCAGTCAGCGCTGCGGAATCAAACCCAGTTGTTGGGTTCGAGTTCGAGTTCGAGCCCAAATGGGAAGTGCTACAGGGAGGTTCTCGCGAATGGGCTGGCGGTGGCGGTGAAGAGGCTCGAACCCATTGAATGCGGTAGGGCAGAGGCACGGCGGCGGATGCAGCAGCAGCTGGCAGTGCTTGGTGGTTTGAAGCATCGGAATGTGATGAGCTTAAGGGCTTACGTCGCCGAAATGGGAAGCTGCTGCTTGGTTTATGACTTTGTGCCCAGTGGGTCTCTTGAGGACGCAATGAGGAAAGTGAGAGAGAACCAATTGGAACTTAATTGGGAAGTTCGGCTGCGAATTGCCGTTGGGATTGCCAGAGGGCTTCAGTTTCTTCATTTTGAATGCAACCCTCGAATTCTTCACTGCAATTTGAAGCCTTCAAATGTGCTGTTGGATGCAGAGTTTGAACCAAGATTGGCTGATTTTGGGTTAACAAATCTCATCTCTGATTTTGATGCACCACCTTCTTTGTACACTGCCCCCGAGTGTCTTAACAGCTCCAGGTAAATCCGACAGAGTTGTTTCAATAATGCTCTCTTCTGAACAATTATAAGCATTACCCATTAAATGTCTACCTGATATTCAATGTCTGGAAAGTAAATTCTAAGCTTACAATGTTGATAAGTTATTAAATTTAGCTGAACTTATTGGCCTCATATTCATTCCCTGCATTAATGATCATACTCCTTCGCTCTCTAGGTAAGAAACTTGGGGTAGATAGATTATAGTTGGATCTTAATCCAAGGCTGGAAACATGTGGATTGATATGGTAGTGTTCATCTTGAAACAGGTATACTGACAAGAGTGACATTTTCAGCTTTGGGGTTATACTGAGTGTTCTGTTAACCGGTAGAAATCCGACCGAGCAGGCTTCGTTGGACGGAGGAGATGACAGTGGCAGCGAGGGACGTTTAGGACGGTGGCTCGACCAATCAGTGGATCCACGAGAAGCTCTGGATAAAGCCATCAGAGGAGAAGGAATGGAAGAAGAAGAAGAAGAAGAAGAAGAAGAGATGGTGTTGGCATTGAGAATTGCTGGTGTGTGCGCATCAGAATTGCCTGAGGACAGGCCTTGCAGCGATGAGCTACTTGCAATGCTGACCCAATTACAAAGCTTTTAAAGCAGTTTGTAGGCATATTTTCCGGCCAACATTGATTGAAAAGGGGAGGGGCCAGGGGCAAGGTCTTAAAGAGTGGCATTAACTTGAGTTTGTCCTCATACTCAAATCTCAAACCCCAAACCCCATGTGGGACCTTAAGCCCAACCAATCATGCTCCATAACAGGAACAGCTCAGCCTCTGACCAAAAAATGTGTCTTACCTATCACCTGCCTCACACACTGCACCTCCTAACAATGCCTCCATTAATATATAACTTGTTTTTTGCTTGGACTTTTAGTAATACTTCATGATGGAAACCCATACGTTTGCCATGATAAGTTTTCTTCGTTTCATTACTGCACTTGATAATTGGAGCTATCCGTGAATCAACCCATTTGATATGGGTTGTTATGATCAACTTGAAAGGTTGATTTCAGGTTTTAAATTGAACCAAATTGACTATCCAACAGCCCACCTTAAAGAGATTTGAGACTTGGAGAGATATCTTGGGATCCAAAAGATCTAACAATAATGCATCCATTCAAACCTTCACAGCCACTCGTTTCTCAAGGGAACAAAAAGTAGCCTTCTCCTCTGCATTATTGGTCTAAAACCTTATCCATTCACGAGATATCTTGCCATCTTTATCTGTTGAGCCTTATAAATCTGAATTCCACTCTAAAGATACATCCAGGCATCAAGTTCGCAGCAGACCGCCATTGTTCATCATGCAGTTGCAGGCAGCTCCTTCCCTGGCACATCCATCTTCATGCTACCTTCTCCCACCAACTACCAAATTGATGGCGTTCTCAGTCCCATCTAGGTCCATGCGAAGGCACCCCACTTCACAAACTCATCGCCCCATCCTAAAAGCGAAGGCAAGTGCGGTTGGACAAGACCCTTCAACGGTTGACTACAGCTCCGTGTCCTCGTAAGCTAGATCATTTTAGTTCTCATTGTTACACAACAATATATCTGATTCAATACCTTCATTTGCCCTTCTGTGTTGGTTTTTGGAAGTGTTTTTCCAGCAGAGGCTTGTGAAACTGTTGGAGGTGAAGCTTGTGATGTCGAAATGTATCCTGAAGTAAAGCTAAAACCAGAGGCTAAAAAGGGTGGCAGTGTCTCAGAGGCAGTTGATAGAGAGTATCTACAATATGACAGTCCTAAGACGTAAGATCTCTCATTTCCTATGAAACAAACACTATTTCATGCTTCAATATGCATTGATAATCTTGGTTTTTAATGATTGCTGCAGAGTCTTTCCTGCGGAGGCTTGTGATGATCTGGGTGGTGAATTCTGTGATCCAGAGTATCAAAAGGGAGTTTACTAGAAAAACTTGTTGGGAAAAGGAGCTTCCACTTGTTCTCTTTTCCTCCTCTCTTTACTGACTTCCTATTATGCTTGTAAATGATTAGTAGACTACGAAGTTCTTCAATACTGATCAATACTTTATACTCTCCAACAACATAAAAAACTATCTGAGTTTTTTGTGATCATCTGAAAGGCAATAATCTTCCCAAAACAACACTCGAACTGCTTGCTCATTTAGTGGAAAACAAAAGAAAATCCAAACTGTTTCAAGATTGAGACATCGAAATACTCGATTGATTATGAATAGTAAGAATATAGAGACAGCAATTAATCACTTACAAATGAAGCGCTGAAGGTGCCAAGATTGTTAATACTTCTCAAGATGAACCATCCAGATCCATCACCTGCAACATTAACCACAATTAATTCAATGACAGGTCAAAATGGCATATCAGTTAACAATCATGAAGGCCACACAATCAGTTTGCTCCATTGCTAAGTCTCATCCACGAGGATTGACGCATTTTTGTTGACATCGTGTTTTAACGAGATGGCGAAACGCTGAGAAATACGTCTTAAATCCTTCGTCGTCCTCCAAATACCTTGGAATTCAGAACTAGAGAATACAGACTGTGAAGAGTATCAGACTGCATAAGCCATGTCTAAGGCTAAAAAAGATACGACATTTTTTAAGTTTTAAACTTCAACTTTTTTTTAAAAGTCTCTTAAATATTTTAAAAACTAATTGAAACACTTCAGTTGAGAATTAAATAGACAGAGAAAGTCAAGTGAGTATCATGGTGTAATTTAACGTTGACAAAAGTGAAGTGGAAAATTCCTGTTTTTCACAGTTTTAAGGTAAACTTTCTGACAGATTTTCGCATGCACAAAACAAATTTTCAGCTGTGGTTCTTCAATTTTTTCCCCCAATTAGGTTCTTATTTAGGAGATTTCGGACATACTTTGAAAGTATTCTATGTTTTCGTCGCAATGTTTGGTTTATATGAAAACTGCTGGATGGAATGCTGCTTGCAATAGAACTGTACTGTATAGCTTTATTGCAGTACTGACTGCTTGCAGCCATTCAGGCTTGGTAAGAGAGGGCAGGCAGATTTTGGATTCTATGAGTACTGCATACGACGTAGAACCTACAATTGATCACTGAGATAGTATGAACGATATAAACTCTCCTGCAGGACTCCTAGATGATGCCCTTAGATTGATAAAGATTATGCAAGACATCAATGCAGATGCGATGACCTGGGAAAGCTTGTTGGACGGTCGTTGGATGGGATCCACAAGAACCTCAGAAATCGGGAAGACTGCAGCTGGAGACCTCCTTCAACTAGATTCAGAGGACAAAACCAGTCATAGAAACATGTTTAAATTGTATGTTGGAAAATGGCAAGAAGCAGCTCAGGATGTAATAGTTAGAGATTCAAACAGGGGAAATGTTTTTGCAATGGTTACTGGTGATATGATTGGGTAAAATGAGTTATGTTCCAATGAAATTATCAGAAACTCTTAAACTTGTAAAATCACCACCAAGTGGTGAATAGACCTATCAATTTCTTCTTCAATGGAGAATTCACAAATGTTTATAACCACCAGAACACCGACTTTCCAAACCAGCTAGACCTATCAATTTCTTTGTATTCCGTATTTTTTTCCAGGATAGTAAAGATTATTGTGTACTTGAAACAGGAAGTGATTCTTCCGCCCCCACCTCTCTAGAATGCAGAAAGTGACTTTCATATCAGTAGTTCAGTGCATGAGACATATATTATATTAGCAGAAACAAGGTAACCAACATATATATAGAACATGAGAGGATTTGCCACCCCCCCAAAAAAAAGAAAAAGAAACTGCTGATATGAAGGCACTAAACTTTTAGCCAGTGTCGTGATATTAGAAACAAGAACTTGAAATCAGAGCGACACATTATCTAAGGTTATGTAATTGAGTTCAAGCACTCTCTTTACGTGATGCTTCCCACATTCTACGCTCAATTCCCAACTTCCTGAGCTCTGTGAGGCCTTGCTCAACTGAAAATTGGCGTTCACCCACACAAGGGGGATAAAAGAAGAGGAAGGTAAGAAAATGAAAGGAGGCAAAGTATACGATACAAGTCTACCCCTGAAAAGTCAAGTCAACGAGTTTTGCAAAACTTACCATCAACAGCATCATGTGATGAAGGAGAGTGAGCACTGCGATTAATCCAGAACTGAAGTCGTTCATTTGCAATATCTTCTTCAATACCATGAGCTTTGGCTCTTCTCCAAAAATATGTAAGCCATGCCTGGAGACCAAGAGTATTTCAGATGTATAATCAGATTGTTTATGACATAAGCATGCAATACAGAAGTTGAAGAGCAAAATATGGAACACATTTTTATACAGGTATTAGTATCACAGCGTAAATGTGACGTAAGTTCATACAGTTCACTCGTTTACCACCAGAAGGTTTTACTATAGATAGCTTGTTACTATGGTTGCTTAACAAAGATTTTTTGGAACCACCACCTTTCTCGAGGGACTAGACAACAAGGCTACTGTTTCGAATTCCAGAGAACCACCAACAACATTGATTGTTTCTGATCAGAGCCAGGCAGTGCCAAATACTAAAAGCATTGGCCCCATAAATCCGAGACCTTGACGGCAAGGGTGAGAGGCTTTTATTTTTTTCATGAAAGTTTGTTTCTTCAAAAGAAGAGATGGTGAAATAATTTCCTTCATCTTCCTGATATCAAATGTAAGAAATTCTAATGGCACCTCAAAATTTTTTCACTCTAACCATCATCACACGAAATGTCAGTACAAAACCTAACAGTTAAATCATTAGTGACAAGAAAGTCATAACATTTGCAGCTGATGGATGGATTTGTTGGCCCTCATCCAGTATATAAGACTTGTAAAAGAGAACTAACATCGTCTGAACAAAGGTTCTATGACCAGACAAAGGTCAAAGAGAGTTGTTCTCGCTAAGGGCAGGAAGCATATGGATGTATGAAGGGCGTTTTTGTATTTTGGTGTGCTAAGAAAGAAAATTCTAACAGGGAAAGCAATGTACTAATCATTAAAAAAATACCACCTATATATCATGCAACAGAAAATTAGGTTACAAAAAGAGAACAAATTAGGGAAAATGGAAAGACCTCTTTGAAAAGAACATCTTCAGATTCCTCTGGGCTCAATTCTGAAATAAAACACTGACCGAATATTAAAGTGATGAAGAATATATACAATGCTTCAGTACATGCTCAACTATTGTTTCATGCATCAAAATTAAAGAATACAGCATAAAACGAAAAGTATTAGAGTATATTAGCATCCCATGGAAATGAAATGCAGTCCTGATTGTTATCAAATTCACAGAATTAAGCAGGAGCAATTCAATGAGAAATTTTAGCAAGCTTTATCCCTTCCAAACTTCAAAACTATCGAAAAGTGATGGGCATCAAAAATGACATACCAAATGCCTCCATGAACTTCGGATCAACTGGCGATTTGATATCTGCAACATTAAATTGATTTGGAAACTGTTCAGCAATGGATACTACCAAGTGCTAGAATTGGTACTTTAAAGTCGGTAATTCATGCATCCTTGGAGGAATCGGTTATAACATAACTCTTCTATTTTATCATACAGATTCAAAGATAAAAAAAAACCTTCACTAAAACAATAATAACACTAGTCGCGTTTCTCATCAAATAACCTATCAATAGACGTCTTCAAAAGGCTAAAATTATTTATGGCTGGAATGCTCAATTGATTGAATGGCATTTGCAATAGCATTATGGACACACACCAAACAAACTGATAAATGATAGGTGACGTGGAAAATTGAAATTAACGACACTAAAATGATCCTTGAGCAAAGTTTAGAGTCCATGAGCACTTGAGCAAAGAGAATAATTGATCTTCATGATCAACTGTAATGAGAATTGGCATGCAATTATGGGTTCCAGAAGAGGGATTGATTTATATTGAGAATGCTTAATAAAACAAGTAACAAAAAAAGCCCTGCAGTCTTGCCTGTTTTTTTAGTAGATAAGAATCACTGAGCTTTGTGGTCCTCAACGAACACCATCATTAAATGGTAATCTTTATTAAATTGCTTTTATTAATGATCTAACATGAATGTGTTGGATATTCTTGCTGAAGCAAAAGTCAGAAGTTGAAGGTGCATGCTTGATTCAGACTAAGATCAGATAATAGCAAGAAGTACACTTCAGAAACTTTTAACAAGTTTTGTGAAGAGGCTGAAATTGAACATCAATTGACAACACCATACACTCCTCAACAGAATGACGTCAGTGAAAGGAGGAATAAATTCATAATGGAAATGACGAGATGCATGCTTTATGAGAAGGATCTTCCAAAACGTTTTTGGGAAAAAGCAGCAAACACTATTACGTGCTTGCAAAATCGAATTTCAACAAAAGCTGCGAAGGACCTGATACCATTTGAAGTTTGGTATGGTTACAAACCTTCTTTAAAATTCCTTAGAGTATTTGGGTGTCTTTGCTTCACTTACATTCCACACGTCAAGCGTGATGAGCTTGACAAAAAGTCAGAAGTTGGCATCTTTGTTGGGTATAGCACTATCCAAGGCTTACAGAGTTTTTCAACCACACTCGTCGTGTTATTGTGAGCCAAGATGATATGAACCAAGAGACATCAATCATACAATATGTTTCAATGAAGATGTGAAGAAAATATTGTTGAAATTATCAAAAGATATTTCAATTCATGCCACATTGAAGAAGAATGAAGTTTCATGTGATAAATTTTGGGTGGATTACAATTTAGAGTTATTGTATTTCATTAATGTATTTTAAGAGTTTTTATTTACTTTAGGTTACAATTACATAATGGTTAATTATGGTCATTAAGTATGAATGTAACAACTCTTGGAATGCCTTTAGTGGTTTCATTTTTAAGCTATATAAGCCATGTATATTGCATTTGTAAGCAAACTCGGAGAATATAGTAAAAGAAGCATTTGTGCTTTCTTTAGCCAATGGCTAAGTTTATTTCCAATTCTATGTAGTTTAGGTTGCATGTAAAATCATTCAAGCTCGACATGATCAATCTTGCTTGTGGAGTGATTCGAATCTCAAACAAGTGTTTGAGATATTTGATCAACCAGAATCATTCAAGCTAGACATGATCGATCTTGCT